TAGACAAAGGAGTAAATTCAAACTCTGATTTGTTTACAAAATCAACTGCTGTGTCTTAGAGTTTAGTAAACACATTGTCTGATCGCATATTTTTAATTTTATCTAGAGTCACTTGAATACAATTTGCTGCCCCTAATAGATCTATATCAGATGATTGTAGCATTTTGGTTGGTGGGTCTAGTATTTCAAATAATTTACTGTAACAAATTGCTGTTACAACAAATCTTTCTGTCAGTAAAAAATCAATTAGACCATTAGCTTTAGAGCATACCTTAAAATCTGATAATTCTGTAATTTTAATATTTTCCAATGTATCTATGATAACATCAAAAGTTGACAAAACTGTTTGAAGAGCCATTGAATATGACATCCATCGCGTAATATTAACTCTTTTTAACCTTTTTACCCTAACAGTTGGATGTCTTTCCTTTTGCATATTTTCATAAAATGCCACTCTTTTTTTGCTTGAAGAAATAAAATTATACAACTCTTCTATATTACCAAATAAATTAACAGAATCAGGTGAACTGCTAGTTACTTGAACAACTATTAGGTTTAGCCGATGAGCATAACACCATGTATAGATAGCAGCTGGATTTACTTCTTTTATAAACGATTGCAATCCTTGATACTGCCCTCGCATATTGTTTGCACCATCATAGCTTTGACCCACAAGCATTGTTTTCCATTTTAAATTATTTTCAAGGCATATATCTTGAAATAAAGAAAATAACTGACTTCCTTTAGCTTGTGGAGATTCTTTTAAAGATAACAGTCTTTCCTTTATAAGGGGAGTTGGTCCTTCAAATGAAACATAGCGTATAATAAAAGCTAATTGTTCACGCCTAGAAGAGTCAAACGTAGTGTCAATTGAAACACTGAAATATTTTGATGTTTTTATTTCACTATTTATAAATGTTTTATACATTTTGCTATAGAACTTATTAGCTGATTCTGCCGTCTCTAAGATAAAAAACTAACTTCACTTTTTCCTTTTGTTTGCAATTTACTTATATAAACAGCTAGAGCTGGGGAAAACTTACTCAATAGTACTGTAAGATCTTTAAAATTACCTTTGTTCTTTTCATCCCAACCTTCTCGATGATCGCGGAATGGCAGAGAATGTTGACCAAGAAATAAAGTAACCTCTATGAGAGAGTTTATAATTTCTCCGTTTTCTGCTATTTGTAATCTTTTACATTCGTATATCTGAGGAAGGACTGGCATACAATGAGTTTTCATTTTAACTATGATTGAAGCGTTTATATGCGCTTCCGTTTTTTCATGTATACCAATATCATACAATCTTTGCCAAGCATGAAAGCCTTCAATTGTCCATGCACTTTGTTTATTTTTTCCGAAAAACATGCAGTATAAGCAATACATACGGTTATTTCTAATATTAAATGTTAACCATTCTCGTTTGATTCGTTCACCACTAGGTAGAATTCTATAGTAGTATTCTGTTTTAAAACGATGCCCATGCTCTTGAGGATAATTTCCTTCTGAAAGTTCATTCTTTTCTGGTTGAAATGCTCCTTTATTGATAATTGCTATTTTATCTTCTGGAGTCAAATTAGAGTTCAACAAATATTTGGGATCAAACGAACTAATAAGTTCAAATGCTGAGTCTGCAGGTTTATCTATAAATGAAAGAAAAGAAAACAAACATTATAAATGGAAAAATAAAATTTAAATGATTAATTGGTAAATACTAAATATTCATATTAAATTATTGTTTTCACAATCAGTTATACTAATAAATTAAGTATAAAAGCATACTGATTTAACAAAAATATTATTTATTTAATAATTAAATAGTATTAAAACATGCCCATTCAAGTTGATCAACTATACAATATAAACAAGTACATAAATAAAATAATTAAGTTGAATAAATAAATTATAAAATTAATATTAATTAATTAATTATAATTA